ATGTGCTCGCAGCTCGCGTAATAACCGATGCTGAACGCACTGTGTTTTTGGTACTTGTGCGCGCTCGTTGCGTTCTCCTCTTTGTCCTGTTTCTCGAGTATGCACTCCAAGTCGGCGTACACCACCATTGGAACCCGTTCCTTGTTGTTGTAATTTTCAAATGTTAATTTGTTCTTTCCCTCAGCGGGAAGAATGATTGCGCTGTTGTTCATTTGGTCACAATCCGTGGTGTGTACCGCTAGCTTTTCGCTCGTGTAGAAGTAGTGTAGACATCTGTGTATGTATTTGGAATAAACGAATAATACACCCAACATTAATTAATGAGTTCACCATCTCACAATTGTAGATATTTATTTTTTATTCAACATTGTTGTTACTGTTGCACCACTTGTTCGTACTTACCGATCGCATATGTACTTCGCTGTCTTCATTTTGCTCAATTGCGAGCTGACTAAACGCGATAAATTTTTTATCCACGCGAAGTGTCCCGCGTGTCCATCGTGTTGATCGGGAACATACAACAGATTCACATGCTTGTCCTTCTTATTCGATGTGAGATGGAGCGGCACGTATCCGCGTCCCTGTTCCGCTGCCGTAAACACGTTTACGGACACGTTGTTGTTGCGTTCGAAACGCGNGATTTGATGCAACGTCATTGGAAACTCTATTCCATCAAGGTTCAACACACTCGCGTACGCGGGATACTGTGATATTCGTTCGGGATGTGAAGCACTTGGATACAACGCGGCAACCACTGCCCACGCGAAACACGCGTTGTCAGGTGATTGTACGTTCACTACAGCTAGTTTGAGTTTAACCTCGCGCGACATTTTAATCTGACATCCCGCGCGCATCGGATTGTGACTGTTCACATTCACTGTGAGGTTCAATATCTGCGTCAACGCCCAGTCGCTGTCGCGTTCCTGGAACTCCTCCAGAGTGGTCATTGTCGCATCCATCACCTCTCGATCGTACCACTCGCGCAGATCCGACGAGTGATACAACGCGCGATTGCGCGTATTGAACGATTTCACGCTCGTTTTTTCACCCGCGACAAACTTCCCGTTGAACACCGTGTTCACTTTCACGCTAGCGTGTCGCGCGATCGCTCGATGAACGCGCGTTAGCACCGTGTCTCTAGCAGCTTCGAGAAATCGTCGGGGCTCGATGAACGACTTGTTCACCACGATGCCGGTCACCAAACGATTTTTAAACGCCGTCTCAACTTCGATCCATGCGAGTCCCGCGCTCTCGACACCCGCACCAACGTGCGCGAATCGTTCGCGAAGGGCCGCGCGCAGACTTTCGAGTCGCGCGATACGAGCGACGTGCCAACTTATCACACCTGTGGATGATCGCGGGCGTTTTCTACGGCACTCTTCTCTCAGTGTCTCTAGACGTTCGTCGCACCGTTCCTCCCACGAGATGTAATCGTCCAACGCGTTGAGGAGCGCGGCCTCTTCTTCGAGCGGTTCGCGATCGTTCATGTTGTTGTCTTCGCTTATACTCGTATAGAATTGTTTANTCACGATAATATTATTGGATCGTATATATTTGTTGGATTCAATTTTCG